CAGCTTTATACAAGGTTTGTTGCGTCCCTTTTCTAAGACACATGGTGAATTAGAACTGTTAGCCGTTCTTATACTAATATCATTTTTATTTCAAGTTGGACCAGACATTACAACGGCAGACGCAGCCCGTGTTGCAATTTTTGGGACAGTGCGAATGATTTTTGCCATCTACCACTGATGCCATCCATCAACACATTCTTCGATGGATTTTAATTTTAGTCTGTTTTCTTTTTAGGTACTTACTAGTGTGTGGTTTAACGCCCATGATCAGTATCTTGATTCACCAGACCCGATTAATTGCGGCTGGAAAATTGGTGATGGACGGTAAGTCCCAATCTTGATGACTTCGCTACCTATTCCCAAGTCATGTCCCGAATTTGGAGCTTGTGGCTGCATGGGGCTCTGCGGCCACTGCGGCACGAAGCAGTGTGGCTCCAGGGAGCCGAATGGAGCAGAAAAGATGAGGAAGACTACTAATAGTGAACTTTTTTTTTTTCAAAATATAAGAAATGAAGGCTTGGACAATGTTCAAATGCTTTTTTGGCTCATAAACGTATCGAGCACCCTCGAAAACGTATGCAAGCATGTACATTATACAACAAGTTTTCACAAGTTCTTTGGAATTTTGGCCCATTTCGTCAAAATTTGATCATTCGATGAACTTTCAAAGCTCCAAATCATTTTTTGAGTGTCTCATCGTATTCTACACCCCCGAAAACATAGACATCGACACCTCAATCGTATAGCTGACCGAAAGTAGAAAATAATTAGAATTTAGGGGTATTCTGAACGCCATCTTGAATATCTCACTTCCGGTTGGAATTTCGACTTGATAAACGGTATTTTCGGATTCAGCGGGGTCAAAATAGGGGGTTAACAGCATTTATCCAATTGTTACATGAAATGCTTCTAGGATTGTAACGGAGGGCTTTTTTTGGAATTTAGCCCCGACTAAACGAATCTATTTCTTGAATTTAGTCGATGATTTGTGACCATATTATTGTTTGACGGCTACTTCAAAGTGACGGGCGGAGCTAACTTGCATACTAAGAGCAATAAGTTTTTCACATAATCGGTAGAACTTATGTAGAATCGAGTGTAGAACTGGTCATTATTTCTGTTCAAGCGGATTTTTTCAATTGAAATTAGAAAAAATATTGCACGTAACACGTTAGGAAACGCATTTTGTGTAACTCTGTGTTTTGTGGGATCTCGCTTCGCTCGTACTGCAAAATTCCATTGTCACTCAAAATGACGCGTCACTGGTTACATGAATATCTATTCCAAATGTTATTTACAACGTGTTTTAGGCAACTTGCTACTTTCTCTACTGAATTAACAATCAAACTACAAAAGAGGATACCCACATCAAAATCAGTTTGAAAAATGATTCGTTTTTATGCAAAGAGCTCTTCAATCATACATTAGAGAGATATTTTGTACTTTCAACATTCACTCCATTGAATTGTTATTTGAATGTTTTCATCACCATCTTTCACATAATCATCTTATCAATGAAGAAATAGGAAGACCTAAAAGCAGGTTATAAGTGCGGTGTACTTATCCAAACGGAAGTGTCGCCACGGGTAAGATTATGGGCTTTTGATATGAATTTAATGTAATATGAATGAAGTATGACCTAGAATTTCGGATTTTGACAGTTTCCATTCTTCAGTCGGTCGGTTAACTACCTAGTGATTTTTTTCCGCTGTGCTCTGTGTAAGACTATAAAAACATTTTAGTTTCATTTGTGCAACGAATTTGTGCATTGTGCTTGTATTTAATAATTTCGGTTCCCCAAAATGGCAAACGCCCACGTGTATGGAAATAACGAACTGATAGATATGCTCCTAATTTATGGCGAAACGCAACAAAATTCTGAAGCAGCCTCCCGCCTTTATGCAGAACGGTTTCCTAATCGTGTTCATCCCCGTGGTCGCAGGTTTGTCGCACTTGCTCAGAGAGCCCGCGATACAGGTGAAATATTCACTCACAGAGGCCGAGATGCCGGTAGAAATAGACCTCTCAGAATTATAAATATCGAACAACGAATTTTGGACATTTTTAAAAACGATCCAGCCTCAAGTACCCGCAGCATTGGTCGTCAGTTAGGTGTTTCGAATAAAGTTGTCTGGCGGACTTTGAATGAGGACATGCAGCATCCCTTCCATTATCAGCGTGTGCAGTCATCGCAGCCCGAAGATTATCCACGAAGGATACAATTTTGTGAATGGATACTAGGTCAACATGAAGTCAATCCAAATTTCCTGAATAAAATTATTTTCACTGATGAGACAACATTCACCCGAAATGGTATTTTCAATCATCATAATTATCACCACTAGGCAGTTGAAAATCCACATGTGACTAAGCAAACTGATTCTCATCATCGCTTCTCGATCAATCTATGGGGTGGAGTAGTGAACGGAGTTTTAATTGGACTTCATGAGTTGCCGCCAAGACTGAATGGACTTTCCTATTTAGAATTTTTACAACATGATCTAGATACTCTTTTAGAAGATTTGCCATTGGGACTCAGACAAAGAATGTTTTTTATGCATGATGGAGCTCCTAGCCATTACTGTGCAATAGTTTTTGAACGGCGAATTTCCACAAAAATGGATTGGTTGGGGAGGGCCTGTACCGTGGCCACCACGCTCCCCGGATCTGAATGTGATGGACTTTTTTGTGTGGGGTTTTTTGAAAAATTTGGTTTATGCACCACCGTTTCGGAATATCGAGAACCAAGTGATTTTAAGAGAAAAAATATATAATGCGGTTCAAGTAATGCGACAACAAGGTAGTTTTTAGCGGGCTTGTGAATCATTACTACGCTGTGCGAGACTCTGCATAGAAATGGGTGGCGCTAATTTTGAACACCTGTTGTGAACTTAAACCGGTGCTTCTCAAGAAACAGTGGATGGAAGGATAAAAACATAAGCTGACAACAGTGCGAGAGTAGTGCGAGAGAGCCTCGGAGAGAGGTCTCTGTACAACGGAACCAAACCAGTGCTTTCCAAACTATGGTGAGTAAAATGATCAATATTTTGAAAATTTTCGTTAGCTCTAGAAATGTTTTTTATTGCCATTCATTGTGTCATAATGTGTGATCGAACACCCCATTCCATTGATTACCCAAATTTCGGAAACACCCTGTATATTCTTGAAAACCGATCCATCTCTTAACAAAATCGTGAAGAAGGATCATATCCTCAGAAGGAGATCACTTTCCTAAACAATCTAACCTCACTTGACCTAAGTGAACCTTATTTATTGAATATATGTTTTCCGGAAGAAGACTACTGTTCCTAAACAATCTAACCTCCAAAACGATGATTGAGAACACGTTCTATATTTCCTTTCATGGGACTCTATTCGTACCCATGCTGGGACTCAACGTGTACCCAGTATTTCAGGTCTGGTGATAAACACGACTCTAAACAAGTCATTAATAATTATACAGAGTAGCCCTCTGAAAAGGAAACAGAGGTTCTGTAGGTAGCCAGAACCGGATTATGAATAGAACACTGGAACAGGTCAACTAGATTTCCGAGGAAGACATCGCTCTGAAATGTTTTCAGCGTTGCGGCATTGCCACTTCTATCGACAAGTAGCAACAACTTTGTTATTTTTAACGGAACACCCTGTATTTTATTGCATCTTTAGATTCTCCCTGGAGAGCTGATTTCATCTATGCATCACACTTGGGGTCTAACTGGGATGATTGAAGATATATAGGGTGTTCAAAATCAAAACTTTTTCAAATTTACGAATTTTTTGTGTCGAAACTATTTATTATTGGACAAAACTGCTTTCATGTCCCTATCTCAACTTTTGATTCACTATCTACTGACATTTAATTGGAACAGAAACAGGTTGATCAGAATTCCCAATCTTGGACCACCCTGTATTTGTTCCAATTAAATGTCAGTAGGTAGTGAATCAAAAGTTGAAATAGAGACATGAAAGCCATTTAGACCAATGATGGATAGTTTCGACACAAAAATATCCTTATGTTGAAAAATTTCGATTTTGAACACCCTATATCTCTGTAATTATTGCCGCTAAACCCCAAAAGTGATGCATTGATAAAGTCAGCTCTTCATGGAGAATATAAAAATGCAATGAAATACAGGGTGTTCCATTTGAAATAACAAAGTTGTTGCTACCTTTCTATAGAAGCGGCAACGCCGCAGCGTTGATAATATTTCAGAACAATTTCCCCATCGAAAATGTAGTTGGCAGTTCTGGAAACCTACAGTGCCCCTGTTTCGTTTTCAAAGGGCCACCCTGTATGAATGAGACATACAATTCAACACGTCGTTTATTCAATGAGAATAAAATCGGCGATTCTCAAACATGTTCGTTTTAATTTCAACAATGATGTAATATACAAGGCGTTCTTTATCAGAAATTATCCATTTCACGTGCATACCTCAATTGAATTTAAGGAAATAGTTCCAAGCTATCAGATCAATCCTGTTAGTTTTAAAGATCACAATTCTCGAAACGCTAGAAAGCAATAGTCTTAATTCATACCATGATAATAGGGGTGTAGACTGAAGAAAGGAGTAAGTTTTATGTGCTAAGGGGTGGTTCATCGAGGTTTCAAAGACTAATTTTTGTGCAACACTCTTCCCCATTTGAGCCATCTATCGAAAGTCTCCTTCGTGAACAAAACTTTCAGAAACGCACGTGTGCACAATTGTTGTTCTAGAATTGTTATTATCCATCCTTCGGTTGCCCCCGAGCAACCTTCAAAAATCTTCGAGAGACTTGTGCGAGCAAGGATTAACAGAGGTCTTTTCACGTGTGATCCCAAACCCTTTTTTTGCCAATCAGAAAGATTTCTGCAGTTGTGGTGGAAATCGAACCCACCTACCGGTAATCCAACGTGGATAGAAACTGAAACTTCTACCACGAGGCTACGCTGGCCACTTCCACTATATATATGTCAATAATGTTGAAAAATTCCTAAAGAGTATACAAATCAATCTTACCTGGGGAAGTTTTTTCTCAGTATCGATATGCACTCCACCAACTGGAATGATATTAGGCGTAAGTGGCTGTGAATAGTGGAGTCCAGGGCTCCAGTTACATAAGAGAAACGTTGTTTTCTTGCTCAGGGCATCGAAACTTTGCATCTTCTCTCCGAATACACTTCTCGACATCTTCTCCATATGGAACGAGTTGTAAGCTTTCCAATAAAGATCAATTTTGGAGAAGACAAAATTATGTAATCTTTCCGAGAAATCCATTCTGGCAGTGTTCTTCAAGAAAATATACGGTATATATGAAGCTGGAAAGCTGTTTCCGAATAATTCCGATAGAACGGGTGATAGTAACATTGCAGATATTACGACAGCAGGAGGTGAATTAAACCTCTCAATCAATGGTAGGAAACAAGGCGTTGCAGTAAGGTCTAATAAAATCAGATCGAATTTGAAATCTTTCGGATAATCCATCAGCTTTTGGAGTCCCTTGGTGTGAATCGTATGATTGCATGTCGTAAGTATGAAATCATTGAACATCTTGATATTTCCCAGAGTTGAGAAATGCATATAGTCATCAGGAAGAAACACGCCTATCTCATCAAGTAGTCCTGTAATTGGAGAAAAATACTTTGGAATCGTATACCAAATAATACATAGCATAAATTAATGTTAAAAATAATTTCCTAATATTTATGTCAGGCTTCTTTTTATTTTCTTTTGAGTTATGATTTTGTCAATAAAGTTGGAGGTGTAGGTCGTCAAGAATTGAAGTATCAATGAGAATATTTAATATTCCTCCTTTCCCGGTAGTATGGCCATGTCAAGAAAGTTCAAAATTGAATATTCATATTGTTTAAAGACACTCATTAATTGTACAACACAACCACAGATAATACAACCACAGATTAACAAACCTCATTTGTTAATCTGTGACTGTAAAGGTAATGAGGTAGCTTTGGTCCTGAACCTTTCTGTGGGACAAGCAAATATCACCAATGGCAGAACTCAGGAAATGGAAAGAAATTGAAAAGTCCTGCTACTGGAGAGTAACTCCAGGTCAACGACAAGCGGAAAGATTCATTAACCATTTTCGAAACCGAGACGAAGAGCTACACAGTAAAAAAAATAGAGTGAAATTTAACACTATACCTGTTCCCAGGAGGACCACTAAGCTCTAGAGTAAATAATTTAACTCTATAGTGTGAATTTTTCAATTCAATCAGTGTAAATTTTCAATCCAAGCACATTGAAACTTACCCTATTTATTTCTTCAAATATATTGAATGAACGCAAAAATAGAGTTGAAAGAAACAATTTCGAAAGTAAACATTCCACTCAAGACCCAAGCTAGTGTCAATATCATCACTTTAGAGTGAAATTCAATAACCGAATATTACATAGTCACAAATGTTGAGAGTTGGGAATATAATAGTACAGAGTAGATTTCACACTATGAACAGTGTCGGATCTACCGGAAATTGATTGTATTAATTACACTACGTGTATGTTAAATGGCTCCTGCATTCTTCAAATTGACACTACCATATGTTTAGGTGCTAATAAAGAGTTATCATTTATTCATCATTTTAGATTGATATAAAACACTAGTTGAGTAAACTAGTTACTATTTAATGTTGAGATTTCATCCAAGTTAGATTAACCATTCTTCCACATGTCACAGTATTTATAGGACTCCGACAGACGTTCAGCGGCGAAAACTCGGCATAGTCTCTGCAGCGCCACCTGCATGCAGTGGCGCGAATTGACGGATGAGAAGTAGTGTGACTTCATAATATTTTAATCGTTTGATATTTGAAGAATGACTCACGTCTCACTAGACTACTTAGTTAACCAATCTGTTTCATATGAATCGTTCTAAATAACTGAGATAGGTATACGAAAAACGGTAATAACTCAATGTTGAAAAAAAAACTCTCACTACGTGGGTGTAGTAAAAAAGCTACTTCAAGCTAATATCATGATTATTATATCATCGACAATATAATCAGTATTACTTATTCCACTATCCAGTAGACTGAACGATCTGAAACTGTATATATTGATATTTCATCGTATATAGATTGAATTGAACAATGATAGAGTGTCAATTTAATAGACACGAGTGGAACATTCGAGTTCATCAGTGTCAGTTAACACTAGAATGAATTCAATTTCAATTGTTAGTGAATTGATTTATCTGAATTGCTATTTTATTGAAATTTTAGGAATATAGAGTAAATCCGATATGACATTAGTGAAAATTCAATCTAGAATTATCTTCAATAGAGATAATCTGCGAGAAGTGTAGTCATAGAGTTGATTGCAGTATCAGAGTCAGTTTGCCAGAGTATTTTAACTCTAAAAACATACTCTGCGAATTTAACTCGAAGCGATTTCATACTGTGTACTCAGCCGCAGCAAACCAGAGCTGAAGCTTATCACAGGCTTTTTCACAGGATACCACTCTCTGAAATGGGAAGTGGAGACTGAAACTTGCCGCTTTTGCAAAACCGCGACCTAAATCGCGGAACACATACTTTGCTAATGTAAAGTATAATATTCCGCCAAAGGCTGTATCACCTAGAACAGGTCTAACTGACGCTTGCTGAGATGGAAGATTCAATCATCAGGAAAATTCTAGGAATTATCAAAAGTCTAGGGTTAGAGGACTAAAACTATAGATCAGTGTTATCACAAAAGATCCTCATGGTCGCAGTGACCGAGGGGTCTCCTAGCCTATACGACCCACATACAATCTACAATCTACAAGGGCAATTTTTGGATGATTGAAGGTTTTTCTACAAGCGTGCGTGATTCACCGTACACCCGCACGCAATTCAGTTTTTGAAGTGTAATTTTCTCGCAGTAGTGCGGCAGAAGTTTTCCCACACTAGTGCGGGATAAACATTTATATAATATTTTCGCAAAATATGAGTGGTGGGTGACAAAATATGAAAATTTCAGGTTGTTCTATTGCAGTATTTAATGGTTAGTTTGTACAAAATCATCAATCAAATTGCACTATTCATTGTGAAAATGAAGAAATATTGAAAAATTATAATTGATTATGTAAATCCCCCTATAGCCTTCATATTAGTTAGTATAATTCCCAGAGTAACAAAGCGTTAGTGTCATTTTCGATTCAGTGGATTTACGATGAAAAACAGATGCGATACAGATGAGTTATTGCCAACGGAGTCTTAAGAAAGGTATGAGAAGCACTACACGGGATTTATTGGAGGGTGCAATAGTAAAAAAGTGGAAACACCAAATGAAGAAGAAATATTTTTGGCTCATTTACTAGAAATGTCTGAAACCTAGAGGCCAAACACCATGGGCATGCGGGCTTCCGCAATAAGCTCAACTACATGATTTTTCAAACGGTACCTACACACAATAGATATATCAATATTGTTAGTTGTTCCTATTCTCAGGAATTATTGATTGAACAAATCAATCAATTGCCTACGCTTGTAGAAAATTATTGTTTCTATAACTGCTTTCCCGAACTCCGCTTCGCGTCGTTCGGTTCAACGGCATTCGCGTGCGGAAAAGTATCACTTTCCGCACTAGTTAGGAAATGGTATATTGATTAACGAGCACAGAATGCTAGTGATTTTTACAAGAATGGAGTTTGCAGCATTCGCCTATGGCTCCTGCTGCAATCATTCGAATAGGAAATCAGCATTCCGTGCAAGTTATACACTAAAATTTTTTTATAGCTATAATAGATAACAGCGGCATTTGCATTTTCAATTCATTCGTCTTGTAGCCGTCTGATTTCCTGTCAAGTTGTGCTCATTTATTAGACAGAGCTGTCATTGCTTCACATTGGACATTCCATGAGCGATGAGATTTCCTTGAAATGAAAATGAAACACAGTAAAACACAGTAAAACAAGAGCAATTTTGTGTTATAGCCGTAGAAAAATTACTATTTCGAAGTAATTAGATGACGTTGCGATGACACAAAAACTAGAGAGATAGATTGAAAGTTAGGCATATTTTCCCGTAGTTTTCCTGTCATCGCAGCTTCATCTAATGAACTTGAAAGCCGCCAATGGTCTTGATATTATGGATGATTCTCACAGAACTCAAAGACCTTGAGTTCTGTGGTCAACTTTCACTTTCACATGATGTAATAGCATTGAATTTCGATTCACGATACAATCGGTCAATAGGCGAATTCAACTTATAAGCGGTGAAGGTAGTACTGAATAATTTTCGTTACGGTCTTGGTACTAACTTGGCTATATAAGCACACCAACGATCTCGCATCGGCGTATTGTCGCCTAGGGGCCTATTGAAAATGAATATCTCTAGCTTGCTTTGATATCATTGACTATATAGATATATACGGATACCAAGCATAATTCGTGTTATTTCATATATTCATTGGAAATATACTCGTATTTAAGTCAACTAACCCTTGATTCACCTTCGTGTGAGATTGATAAGATTATATTTCATATTTACCTGTTATATTACATAATGTAGGATCTGAGTACTACCTACTTGAGATAGGCCCGTGTTCAAGAGTGACTTGCGATTTTATAATATAATATTTACACGAGATACAAATCTACTTTTGATCAAAAAGTTATAACAAAACGTTCATTTTCCAATCCATTTAGTTCCCATGAATTGCGAATATAACTCATATTTATTATATACAGGGTGGCCCACATCTCGTTGTTGAAAAGTTGGTTAAATAGAACACAAGTTGCTCACTTTGGCGCACATAAGGATAGATCGAAGATTTCATGATCCTTTCCCGAGATAAATAATGAGATTATGGACGGCTATTAGGATTTATAATCAGGCAAGCACATAACATCAAATATTTGAATACGCTGAAACTTTCATATTACAGTGTAATTAAAAGTAAATTAGAATTCTGCTCCCTGGTTTGCTTCGGCGAATGTCTAGCAGCGTTAGTTGAATTAGAGAAGATTCAAAATAAATTATTGCGTTACCTATATTGAGAAAAATATCACATTCACTATCGTATAGTCGGATCCTCACATCTGCGAAACGAGTTTAAAATTCTATCGATCGCTAGAGAATCTCCGAAAACTGTGACTTCTAACCTTTTTGCATAAAATCATCAATGATAAAATCAACTCTCCAGAAATCCTGTCATTAATACGATTTAATGTTTCTCCTAGAAGAATCAGATCATCTGTGATGTTTAACATTCCACTAGTAGTCGCAGCAGCCTCCGCCAGATCTCCTCTTGTATCCATGTTTCGACTGGTAAACGAATATAATGTCTTCATAGATATCGATTGAACTAACTCACAAAAACCATTTATCAATCTATTTATCGATCTATTATACAGGGTGGGCCACCAGTAACGCCTCGATCTCTAGAAGGCTAACCATTAATCTTCTTGGAATTCTTTCTCTCTAGGAAGTTACATGTCAACATAGGCTACCATTTGAAATTATTTCGAACATACAGGGTGTTCCCAAAAAATCACAATACACTGAAGTTATACTTTTTTGAAAAAACACCCTATATATTTTTGCATCTTGATATTTTTCCTGTAGGGTTGATTTCAACGACTCATCATGCTTGGGGTCTAGCAATGAAAATTACTGAGATATAGGGTGTGAAAAATCGAGATTTTTCAAATTCAAGAGTTTTTTGTGTCGAAACAATCCATAATTGGTCACAACGGTTAACATCTCCTTATCTCAACTTTTTAACCACTATCGATTGATATTCGATTAAAACAAATACTGGGTGGTTCAGAATCAAGATTTTTGACCACCCTGTATCTATTTAAAAAAAAATCGAAAGTATAAAAAAAGTTGAGATAGGGATATGCAAACCATTTTGACCAATTATGAAAAGTTTAGACACAAACAATCCCTAAACTTGGGAAATCTCGATTTTTCACACCCTATATCTCAGTGAATATTACTGCTAGACCCCAAGTATGATGGGTCGTTGAAATCAGCTCTTCAAGTGAAATTTCTGAAAGAAATAATAGATATAGGGTGTTCCATTGAAGAAAGTATAACTTCAGTGGATTGTTTTTTTTTTGGGACACCCTGTATGTTTCGAAATGATTTTAAATGGTAGCCTATGTTGACATGCAACGTCCTTAGAGAGGAAGATTTCCAAGATAATGAGTGGTTAGCCTTCTAGAGAGCGAGGCGTTACTGGTGGCCCACCCTGTATATAATATATGCATGGAAATTATAAATATCGAATCTGATCAATCCATGATTCAATGATTTTATTCCTCATACCTATATGTTTGATGTTATTTTTTTGTTTAATTATCCATGTTACTAGTCTGTAAAATCTGCATGGATAATGAAGAATGAATGAATGTATAAATAAATAAATAAATAATGGTGAAAAACCAAAGGAGGGCGATTTTCGTCTTCAGACGCTAGACCTACCATTTCGGAAACTGAAAAAAAATCCATCCTCAATTTTTTTTAATGCGGACCTGATATAAGTTATTATTTCTAAAAATGAACTTCTCCTTCTTATTCTCTATACAGACATGTATCACAATTTGGGTATTACCTCACTAATATCATTTTGAAAAACGTAGCCAGAATTGAACCTTTTTTGATGTTCGTAACATTTTGTTTTTTCTCAATCATGAAACCTTCATTTCCTTCACATAATTCTTATGTATCCCGAAATATGCAATTTTTGATCCATTCAACCAACTTTTTATCTCTAACCGTTTCAGAGATAGCAATAGTCTGACAACAAAATGTGGGCCACCCTGTGTTTCTTACATCAACAAGGGTACCTAGCCGATACCTATCAAGAGACCTAATAATAATTGGGAATATACAGGTTGTCCCGAAACTAGCCTGTCAAACTCCACCAGCGGATTTTACTACCGAAAATAAAGAGAAAACTTCCAATGAACATGAGTCGGGAGATGTATCCTGAGGGAGCTACGGTCCCCTGAAAGGAGGCTCCTATAGATGATATTTTTTGAATATTCCAGAAACGCCACGTGATAAAATAGTGCAATTCGGTACAAGAACTAAACTTACCATGCCCAATGCGGTGAACATTAAATGATTCCAAAATCAATTTGAAAATATTGTTACATCTCAGATATCATACCTAACAATGCAATGAGGCGTGGTGAAAATGGAAAAAAATGCACAAAGATTGAACTAGTTGTTTCATCAATATTTTTCCATTTTCCGCGCCTTCATGAGATTGTTTGGTGAAAGAAATTACTTGATTTTTTCAAAGCCACTATGATTTGAAAATTTGTAACGTTATGCATAAGATGTGAGTGCATCAATATTTTCAAATCGATTTCACTCGAAGATGATACATCTGATCGATGCGGAAGAGAAGCACCTTTTCTTGTGAAATGGTGTGGATTTTCATAATCCGAGATTGAATTGTCAAAGAATTGCATCATTTTATCATGTGGCGTTTCTGGAATATTCAAAAAATATCAACTTCAGGAGCCCCCTTTCAGGGGACCGTAGCTCCCTCAGGATACATTACTCGACTCATGTTCATTGAAACTTTTCTTCCTCGTTTTGGTCGTAGAAGCCGCTGGTAAAGTCTGGCAGGCTAATTTTGGGACACCCTGTATAGGAAAACGTGGAAAGCCCCGATACATCACCACTCCCCACGTCGCCTTCCAAAGTACTCCATGTTCTTATAGTAATTCACAAGAATAACGTGTATTTTAAAATAGTTAATTATACACCATCAAGGAAGTGAAGAATATCATTGTCACCCAGAGATCAAGATAACTATATCAGGTTGTCATTTCTGCGAATGTCGCATAGGAACAGCAAATTCGGGTTAGTTATAACAGGGGTGGCTATGTCTTTATTGACTAGTGGTTCATAAAATGAAGAAAACTATCTTGGTAGTAAAATCATACGTTAATTTTTGAAACAGAGTTAATGATGATAGATAGATTTCATAGCTAGTAGTGAAAAATAGTTATTTATACACCAAGGTAGTAAAGAACATCAATATCACCCAGGAACCCAAGATTATATCCCGAGGATTTAGCCAAGGAGCATAAGGTCATGTGGTAATGATATTCTTCACTACTAAGGTGTATATTGCAGTTTTTTCACCACTAGCAATATATTTCAATCATTAGAGTTCTGTGAAACTGAAATGGACCTATAATGTCACTATGAAAGCACCGCTCTTCAATTCCAATTGAAATATAGTAACCATGACCATGACAGCATGAATATGACAAGTCGTTATTGATAAATACCTACCAGATTCAAGTGACATCCCTACGAATATCGCATTCGAACAGTGAATTCGGGTTAATTATATCAGGCAGAACTGCCTTGGTAGTGAAAACACAACATCACGCCTCGAAAAGGAGTGAATAATGGTAGCTCTTGTAGCTAGTGGTGGAGAATAGTTATTTATACACCAAAGCTAAGGGGTATAAGGTCCCGTGGTAATGATATTCTTTACTACCAAGGTGTATATCAAATTTTTTTCACCACATGCAATATATTTTGATCATTATCGTTTTGTGAAACTGAAATATGGACCTATTGTCACTTCACTTCACTTCCCTCCAATTCTAATGAAAATAATAGCCATGACTATGACAGCATGATATGTCGTGTCGTTATTGATGAATACGTACTAGATTCGAGTCCCATTTCTGCGAATATCGCATTAGAACAGTGAATTTGGGTTATTTATAACAGGGGTGGCTATGTCATTATTGACTAGTGGTTCATAAAATGGCGAAAACTATCTTGGTAGTAAAGACACACTTTACGCCTTGGGAAGGAGTGGATAATGGTAGGTTCCTATAGCTAGTGGTGGAAAGAAGTGTTTTTCATTCATTCTGGAATTGAAAGTTATTTTTCGTAAACGACCATTCTTGTATTGAATGACAGGATAAGGCAATGAAATCATCTCCACAACACGTTGAATAATCGGACATTATTCAGGACTCTATCATCAGCCATATGAACCCTAACAGATCAAAAAGGTTGTGGAACTGGAAAAAGTACACCTTTGCTGGCACAATAGTTATTTTTGTATCTAGAGTGCTGAATGCTACTTTGGAGATCGAGATCTGATTTTTTAACGAGGCGTAGCCGAGTTAAAAAAATAGTCGAGATGACCAAAGTATTTTGCGCTCGAGTTGCAAACAACATTTTTTCTACAAAAATGTCAAAAAATACAGTTCTAAAGAAAAAATATGCTCAGCTTGATATAAAAAATAGTGTTGAACTGGCTTGAAAGGTCTTTTTCTATCCTCCCTAGGTACGCACGATGTTCCACGAACATAATAGGAATTTCCGTTCGTGCGCTCCAAGAGATAAAACAAAGTTATTGTTGAATATTTAGATATAATTGATTTCGTGGATATTTGCTCGATTGAGGACCATAAAGTTGAAATATAAATATCTCATATATTTTACATAACAATGCGCGAAGTAGGTACTTCGCGCACTGTTTTACTTCTCGCATTGTTTTGTGCAAGGTATCATGGTAACGTGAGAAACTGAAAAAAAATATCACTCCGCAATTTGTTATCAATGCGCGAACCTTGTCATTTTTCGACGTTCGTAGAAAAAAATCATTTGATAACGAATCAACTATATGTATAGTGACCAGAAAGGAACTATTGGCCATAGCCCTCACAAAGAGATAACCGTTTACAGGTGTTTCGGGGTCTTCAAGCCCTCATCAGTACGGTGAAAGGAAGTGCAAGGAATAGGCATCACTTGTCAGTGAACAAAACAAGAAATAAACATAGTAATCAAATAGAAGCCTGTATAGTTAATTCGTTATGAAAATTGTTTTGTGCCAGCAAAGCGAACAATTTGATTACATAAAAAGTTATGTATTTTGTGATTAGATTTTTTATGAAATGACAGACTGAAAGACTAGGTACTAACCTTCCAGCGGAATATAGCGAAACTTCCTATTTTCTGTTGATATCGTCTTAGGTCCAATAACTGTCACATTGTGGCCCTTGGCTACTAAGGCATCGGCAATCGCATAGTTCCATATTTGATGACTAGGAGAAGCTAAATCTTCTGCAAGAAGGATATTCGCACAGGAAACTGAGGAGATTGCTCTCAAGAGTAAAATAATTGATCCGATCAATTTAACGAAGAGCACTGCGCTGTGATTCATGTTAACCTTCCTATTGAACTAGCTAGGCTATAATAAATCATCTGCTGTGATGATAACAGAACAAGGTCGTCAATCAAATATTGACTGATCAAAAAGATTTAGAGATTGTACTATTCCTGTATATACAGAATAATAAATATTAATAAATTCAATATGATTGACTTTCTCAAAATTCTTTATATTGTTGACTGCCACTATTTTGTTATAATTTCATGTTCCTAAGGAACCTATGCATACTAAATATATATTACATCCTCCTCCTCTTTTTACGTCTGACTGATTTATATTCAATTTTTTGACAATTTTTGATGGCAAGATACTAACTTCCGCCCCAGAATCAATTTTAAATATTACCATTTCGTTTTTTATCAACAGTGTCTGCTACCACAACTTCTCTTTACCCTGTGCAACGGAACTGATGTAGAATTCGGCATCTGGGGTGACAACAATCCCAGCTGAAGTTTCCTCTGCTGCTGCCACTTCATTTATATCTTTCTTCATTGATGACCTTTTCAGTTTCTTACAAACAGCCGAGAAGTGATTTCTTTTATTGCAGTTGGTGCAATTTTTTCCAAAAGCAGGACTTTTACCATAAAAATGACTTCTTCCACAGAAAATGCATCTATCGAAAAACTCAGTTTTCGATGTACTTGCTTGGCTAATTGCATTGATGTCTGGATTTCCCTGCATTGCTTCAACTTGAGTCTTGCTGGTTTTCGCTAGCCTGCAAGTGTTGACTGTATCAATCAGCGTCAGTTCAGGATCTCTCAAAAGTCTTTCTTGAACACATTTGTATACATTCCTTACAAAAATTTTTCATTTCAGTACCAACGAACTGTTTTCCATTATCTGATGTGATGGAAGTAGGGAATCCAACTCTAGCAAATATTTCGTGAAGTACTTTAACCGTGTCTGCAGCAGTTATTTTCCGCATTATCTTTATTTCCTTATATCGGCTGAAATAATCGACAATGACGAACAAATAATCGCCGCTGGTTAGTGGTCCCATAAAATCTACAGCAACGTCTACCCAAGGTTCTACTGGTAGTTCACGTCAGGGGCTGATACAAGTGTACAACCCTTGCATCATCTAACTATTTTTTCACCGTCGCTATTTTGGGCCACCATACTTTCGATCGTAAACGGTTTTTCATGGCAACTATTCCGGGGTGGCCTTCATATGCTGCCATCAATACAGCTTCGCGTAATTTCAAAGGAATAACGATTTTATTCCCTCTGAGTAAAATTTCATCGCAAGAGCATAATTCGGAATCGAATATTCTATAGTTCTTAACGGAATCATCCCAACGATCTTGTAAATACCCTGTTTCACATAGAAAATTACGTCATCATTCATAGAATATTTCTTAATTTTGTCAATAGAGACAGCTTAAGGACGTGAACTTTTCAGTATTCTGTGTACATATTCGTCATTGTCGAAAGATTGTACAATCCTATTATTGACACACAACCGTAATAAGGGATCTGCTATATTTCTTTTGCCAGGTCGAGATACAATTTTGAATTTAAAAGATTGAAAGCGAAGTACCCAACGTTCAATTCTGGCACATGGTTTAGACTTTGGTCCAAATATCACCTCCAATGGCTTATGATCAGTAATTAATTCAAATTCTTTGCCATACAGATAAATATGGAAGTGTTCCACTACCTAAACTGACGCTAATTCTTCCTTTTCAGTTTGGCAGTATCGCTTTTCGCAATCAGATAATTTTTTGTTGCCATAGGCTGTGATTCGTGGACCATTTTTATTGATTAGTATCAGAACTGATCCTAGTCCGACAGGACTCGCATCAGCTATTACTTGTGTTTTGTCATCTGGTATCGTAAAATCTCAATGATTTTATATTTTGCAACGATGCTTTCAACTTATTGAAAGCACTCTCTTGGTCCGCTGACCACAGCCTACGGATATTCGCATGCTTGCCTAATTTTGAACGCAATATTGTCCGAAATGGTTCAGTAAGCGTAGCCAAGTTAGCTATCCATTTATCGACGTAGTTTATCAACCCGAGAAAGCTTCGAATTTCTTCCACCGTTCCCGGCCTTCTCATGGATTTGATACTGTCGATATATTCTTTCAAAGGTTCAACCCCCATTGAAGATAACATGTGTCCCAGAAATGTTATCACTTTTTATTTTGAATACTTATTTGCTATCATTTAGAAATACATTATTTTCTTCAAGTACTGCAAGTGTCTTTTCAAGCCTCTTATCATGTTCAACTTCATTTTCTCCGTAGACCAGAATATCATCAATGAAATTAACTGATCCTTCACAAGGTAAAAGTATTCTCTCCATAGTCTCCTGAAATATCTCTGGGGCACATGTGATTCCAAACATTAGGCGTTTGTAGCGGAATAAGCCTCGGTTACTAATGAAAGTGGTGAGTGGCGAGAATTGGGTGATATTTCAATTTGATGGAAAGCATTTTCAAAGTCTAGCCTGGAAAATATTTCAGCATTTCTGAATCTAGGAAGCATTGTGTCGTCCATAGTGGGCAATGGGCAATTTCCACGAATGATAGCCTTATTTGCAAATCATATCGATGCAAATTCGGATATCACCGTTCTCTTTCGAAATTGGAACTATTGCTGAAACCCATCTCGATGGTTCATTCACAGATTCAATTATATCCGATTTCACCCCAAATCCTTGAGTTTATCATCAATTTTTTCGTCGAGAGCAATGGGAACCCTTCTGTAAGGCTGACATACTGGTTTCACTGTTTCATCCATAGGTATGTCACCTACGACGTCTTTGAATTTGGGAAACTGATCGATTGAATTTACTTCAAGCCCTTTTCTTGAAATCCCTAATGCTATCGCTGTAGATCATCCCAAAAGATTTTTTGTTCCTTGTTTAATCACATAAAAGTAGCGCAATCTGTAGACTTGCCTACAGAAATATTTGCCTTAAAAGAACCTAAAACCTCGATCGGATCTCTACTTGCGTATGCCATAAACGTTTTGTCAGGTCTCTTTACTTGATCCCAAACTGTAATTCTTTATTTTTCAACATTTCCCAGGTTTGTTCATCCAAAAGATTACTTCTGCTTCCTGAATCAATTATCATTTAAATTTTAATACCCCCGATGGAACAGTGAATCAAGCAATCATCTTCGATATGAAATACATAATCTAGACTTTCTTCGTGTTTAACTTTACTGAATTGTTTCCTTCTCTTCGGAGGTGGACCCCTTTCTGTTTGAGGACCCCTTTTATTTCGTTTCGATCTACAACACTTTCCAGAATGTCCCATTTTGCCACATTTCAAACACCTCTTTTTTTTTGCTGGGCAACTTCCGTCATGCGGCTTATGACCTTAGTAAAATTACCAGGGTTTTTGACACTTTGAACTTTGTTTACTGTTTGAGAGACCCCTTTGTTGTTTCTTTCAAATTCGTCCAACTTCCTGTTAACGGTTTCTAAAACGTTAGCTTCTAACATTATTTCATCAAGTTTCCCCTAGACTAAGAATTTTTATTCGCAATTCGTTAGTTTAACACTTTTCAACAATTTGATCTATCAAATGTTCTTTTGAATTTGTAAATTCACATTTATTCGCTTGCATTCTAAGTCTAACTAGAAATTTGTCAAATTTCTAATCTTGTTCTTGCCTAATTTGTCTGAAAATGTATCTTTCGTGAAGACTGCTCTGTTTTGGACAAAAATATTCATTCGATTTCTGAATAGCCAATGCGAATACGTCAACTTCCTCCGAACCCTCAATGTGTGCACCTGGTATATTTTAATATATTTCTTGGAGTCCCATGCCTCCAGCATGTAGAAGACTTGCCCTTTTTTGTTGAGGTTGTTGAATATTTGATGCCAGAGCAAAAATTCCGAATGCCCTTTTCCATTTTTCCCCCCTTTGACCCACTGAGCTCGGATCTCCTTCACAATCGAAATCTAGTGCTGGTATGTTCGCCATATCACCGTACGGCCTCCTGTATAAACAGGTTCATTCAAAATTACCATTGAGTTATCGCTGCTCATTTTTGAGAGAAATGTCCAGTCAGGATGACGAAATGATTTGAATTAATATCTATTTGTCCATGCTCAAACAGGGTATCGAATGCAACTGTGTCACTTCTGCTATCCGACTCACAACCTCCAACGGTTACATTTATATAACAACTCTTACCAGTGACGGCTCGTCAGGGACGGCAGGGTCGGCCGGGCCGTACCAAATAATTTGGGAAAAATTACTGAACTATTTGACGAATACAATTATTTTCCGAAACTGTTTCCATAATTCATCGTTCATTATCCTACTGTTATGCCACTATTATTTGAATTTCATTCACTGGAACCTTTGAGTATGCCATCCGCATATACTCCGAAAATCACGAACTAATTCAGGACCTACGACATCTGGTAATCCCATCGTCAAAACGCCGCTTTAAGTTGAAACGCTCGCGTAGCTCATTACACTGATGCAGACGGCCGGCCGATCGGTGGTTTCTTGTCTCGACGCATCGCCTACAGATTCCCCGCTTCAAGTTTGAATTCTCGCGTATACGCGAACGATACGCGTGGGAACACCCAAATCACCAGAATGTAAAATCGCAGATCCGTAATCCATCAGAATATACATTTTCAAACCAGTAACTTAACAGAACAATATTTTATAGGCATCGTATTTATCTCTACTAGAGATGCACAGAACCGCAATCCCTCAAACCTTTTTTTGTATACTGTAATTGTAATTGTAATTGTAATTGTAATTGTAATTGTAATTGTAATTGTAATTTATTTACCATTAGCATTACATAATAAATCACAATGCATTTTGTTTATCCTATGAGAATATGCAAAAGGTAAATAAACAAGGAAAATTCACAAAAGGATAGATAACCCTTGTGCGTGAGATGCTCGTTTTTCTCCCTTCTACACCTTGTAGATGTTATAAGGAAATATGGAACTCACAGTTATTCATGGATAAAAAAGATAAAATGATGTAAAACAATAATAATAAAATTCTTAAAAATAATTGTTCTTAAATGACTAGGACATTGAGTGAATAGTAAGTATATAATAAATAATGTATAAAATCAATGATAAGAGATAAATGTAATAGGAAGGGACCTTGATTGCATTAGAGGTCGGTACATGTACATGAGCATACCAGACAATAACAGATTGCAAATGCGCAGAAGTGTATTTTTCTATAATAGCAATATCGCAGATCCGCAAATATACAGAATCGAAAACTAACAAACCAACATCACAGCGGAATGATATTTCGTCAGAATCATAACAATACAAACACTAATTCGTCAGAATCGCAGAATGACAGACCGCACATTAGCAGACCGTACTTTGACAGAATCTAAATACAACAAACCGTTTATCGACAGAATAGAAAAATGTCAGAACCGTACATTGACAGAATAGCAAAACATCAGAACAGCACATTCACAGAATCTCAAAATATCAGAACTGTAAATTGAGAGAATCGTGAAATGCTAAAACCGTACA